GAAAATGTGCAGTTTTCTACGCTACACTAAGAACACGAAATGAATTTAGTCAAACTAGCACAGAGAAAAATATCTGAATTTAAAATGCTTCCCTAAAATTCTTCTATGTCTTGCTTTTTAACAAATTAATAAATTTACTTTATTTAATTTTTGATATTTACTGGCGTGTTTTGTATTTCCTGTTTTGTTTCTTTACTGTTTTTTTAATCCCAATTTGGACACGTGTTTATGTGATAAAGTTCATTATTCATATGATCGATACTGAGTCTGAGAGGAAGAGGTCAGCAGACCTCAGTGCAATTAACAAGGTCTTCCCACAGGCAGGTGAGTGTAGGTGCGAGGTGGTATCCCCATAATTGCACTTTAGACTAAAGGTGCACACCCATTAATTGATAGCCACTCATCATCTTATTCTCACCTGATTTCGTTTTTTTAACGACTCAAAAGCCTCATATGTGCAAATCTAACCTGGTTTTGATGTTACTCAGTTTCCCGACCAAGCCTTAGGCGAGCAGCTCAGCTGTGCGTGAGCAGTTTTTATTTTCCCTGGTTTACTTGTCGGTTTACTTTTCTTATTTCGCCAGCCTGTACCGGGCCCACGAGGAATCTGTTTTGAGCGCAATCGCAAGATACGGAGGCAGTGTAGTGACAACGCATTCGAAACCACAAACATAAATGCCTCTTTTTTGTTGAGAATGGGACTGATGGTAAGCTGTAAGCAGAGAATCCATAGCGCGTGAGCAATTTTTATTTCCCACGGAGTTCCTGCCCTTCCTAGGCTCAGTCCAGAAATACCCCCTATCTTGCGATAGCGTCCTGTTTTTTCTATGTCCCCAGAGCGATTTGCGTTTTGCATCGTTCGTATGTGTGCAAGTACTCGTTTAGGAATCGCTGAAATTGTGGAATACAGCAACGTTGTCTGGACCCAGGCTGGCTAAGATTTTCAAGAATCGAAGTTGTGGTCTTAAGAGAAGAGGACAAGATGCATTCGGTTATCGGACGTCATCCGCTCACTTTTTTGATCCAGGTATCCTTCAATTCCAAAATCAAACTGACCATAATAGTCGTATTGGTGTTGAAGTTCCAATGGAAAATACACAATTACTTACCGATATGTTTATTTCTTACAATCGAGGATTCAGGGGTGTGGACCCCACCATCATCAGTATGGGTAAATATGTCCATTTGATATCAAATTGAAGGAGGATTTACTAAAGGTCGAGGACGAAGAACGGGCAACTTTTCTGATGGAAAGACGAGCGGACTTCCGACTTCCGTGTGTACCGAAATGCAATTGAAATTAGACAACATGATCACAATAAGTCGATGGAGATAAGTGGACTTCAAACCCCACGGGTCACCCTTCCACCCTCCCCCTCCCCTAGTCTTCGATCATCGATCACCGCGTGTGGTGTTTGCATCGCTTATTTTTTCCACATATGTCATTTCCACATGTGATCCAATTCCGCGTAAGACTCACTTTACATTATAATAATTTCAAAGTTTCCTAAACGGTTTCCTTTCCCTGAGTGGATACCGCTGTTCTTATACCGGTTTCTGTGCACTGGGAACGGTCTGCTCAACTGTCTAAACGTTTTAAACGTTCCGCAAGATCTGTGTACAAAGTTCTCTTTCGAAACATCCGCACGTTCCGAACCGCGTTTGTTGCTTTGAAGCAAACTGTTTTCCTCCAATCAATTCTACCGGTGCTATTAAGCGTCCTTTTGGTGCTATCCTCGCGCTTCTTTTTGCTTCTCCTTGACATTTTCTGACGAACGAGTCGCCCTTATCGGAATCAATAGATGGAATGCGTATGATTCTCGTTCAATTTTCGAAGCATGATCGTCTTCTGACCTCTCTCCTCTGACGATTGAAGTGGTGAGTTCCTGTTTTGCAGCGTCTTGTACTACCTTTCTTAGTGCGTGTTGAAACTTTGCACACGCCTTGGCAGTAGTGAAGCGCTTCAGTATAGTGAAGGGGTTCGTGTAGATTGTTTCGGCGAAGCTCTGAGAAAAAACACGACGTTGTGACACTCATAGGAGGATTCTCAGAGTACGATTTGTTAGCCTAATAAAAAAGGGAGACCAAATTCAAGACAGACAACTTGACAAGAAGATTTAATAGGAATACTTGGACAGCAAATCGCAGCCAATAATGTTAGTCTGCTCCGCAAACTGACACCTCATTTCGGCGGTAGATGGGCGTATCCAATGCACAACCTGCCACAACATCCTGCTTTCTAAATGGGGCTTTTCCTGAGTTCCAACTCTTTCCTGGGAATGTTGAGTGAACACATTCTTCAATTCGAGGATGGGCTACACATGCGTACAACTCCCCTTACCGCAATGTGAAGCGCAACTTCGCGGTGACATTCGTTATTTTGGGTGCTCACACAACCCCAGTCAGTCCAGCAGGCCGTAAAGCGCGAACAGATAGTCTAACAACTTCTAGCTGAGACCACAGTCGACTGCCCAATACACTTCGACACCCGTTCCGATAGCCACCAGGTACAAGGACTGATTAAGGTGGGTCGAATGGGTTTTGAATCTCACCTGCATTCACGCAAGGTCGTCCTACATAGGACAGCGCGTAATCAGTTCACTTTGAGACAGCCAGGGGGAGAGGAGGGGGGAATCGGTCCAATCTCCTCGACTGCAGTAATGCGGCCCCAGCATTTAGTGCTTTATCTATGGTCGTGAACAACTTTCGCGAAAATGCTCCTTCCTATGCAATAACGTGGCTACGCAGCAAAAGCTCCCCTACCGACCCAGGAGGCAAGGGGCGGATACAACAATTTCTACCGGCAGCGATCAGGAGGGCGCCACCTCCTCTTCATAATTCCATCGCCCTGGTCCACAGAGGGAAATCTTCACCTAATGTGCTCGAAGTGCTGTGGCAACGCAATCAGAACATATCACAATGCGTATGCCCTTGTCAGGCTCGTCCCTTCTGTCCTGACTTCCCAGTCATGATAAAGACTGGACACCCAAATACCCTAAGGCTAAGCCCCTGTTTACAACAAACAAGTGCCGAGCCACGGCATATACATTTTGAATTTACCGCGTACAAACTACAACCAATTCCAAATTGCCATGCCCACCGGACCGCCTACTAGCACAGGTATATATACCGCCCTCTTCTGGGAGGTATAAAGAGCGCGCTCCGGGCGGCAGTGGCAGTCTTCCGTTCCGGTGCCACCTTTAGTTTAGTCTCATCTTTTAGTTCTCATTTTCTCTCTCTTTCCTTCTGGACGACTACGGTCGCACACCAACTACCCTAACTCAACTTCTACAACTACGCTACGACGAACCTATGCCGGTCGGACTCGCCACCTCGTCAAGATGACAAGACAACTTACACTCGAACACATAACCTAAGACGCCAACAATACGAGATGTAATAACGAACAACAATAACAATTTCTGTTCTCTCTTTCTCTTCTCCATTGTGTGTTTACTCATAGTTGCTTTGAAATAAATAAATGATTTATTAAACACCTTGTAAACTACCACTGAATCAAAACATGGTGCATCGGCCGGGAATCGAACCCGGGCCGCCCGCGTGGCAGGCGAGCATTCTACCACTGAACCACCGATGCAGCCTGCCACCACAGATTTTTCCACGGGACATGGTAACGTACACATCAAATACGAAAAGCTGACTTCCACTATCCGAACCCTTATAAGAAATGCCTCAGAACGTGTCCGGAGCAAGCCACGAGAGCGACGTCCTAGCATTAACACT